GGTGGTGGCACTGCAGGGGGGAGCGGAGGCTGCAGCTCTGGCTCCCGTGACAGTGGCACAGGCCACGGCGGCAGCAGAACCGTGCTCAGAGGTAGGCTCCACTAAAACAATTCCTGCCACAGAAACATTACCAACCGCTGGTTCAGGATGCTGAATCTGCCTCGGTGAACAGGCTTGGACTAGATGACCCCCGAGGTCCGATCTAGCTTCAACCCTGTGGCCTAGACAATTTGCAGAGAAAGCCTCTATGTCTGGAATATTAGGGTGGGGAGAACTCACTGCACCTTCTTCCTCTTATCAGAAAGAGCGGATACTCAAAATACAGCAAGCAGTTATGGCAAGAGGCAGATGACACTGCTTGGCTGTGGGGACACGATTGCTTTAGACAAGCTGTTTTGCAAAAAAGTTTACATGCAGAAACACTCTGTACCAAACCCTCTTAATGCAAACCAGCTCTTAGGTTATTCGGGTGCTTTGTCAAAGTCCTGTCCAAATGGCTACTTAAGAACATAAGTAGCCATGGGTCAAGAGGCAACCTATCGTCTTGGATGAAAAACCAGCCTGGAGACAGAAAGCAAAGACTAGAATTAAAAGACCCATTTTCATTGTGGGGAAAGGCTAATGGGAGGGCATGTAAGAGGAAGATCTGCTGTCTGGAAGTTCTGCTTTAGCCAAACACAAGCTTTTGGGCACAATGCAGAGGCGACAGGAGACACGTGAGAGTCCGCGATACACAGGCGAGTGGACTAGATGCTCCCCTCCTCCCTGCTTCATGCGACAAGAACAGCCAGACACCCAATGAAATTAAGTATGTGGCAAATTCAAAACTGATACAAGAAAAACTTTTTTCACAGGTACAGAATAAAACTTGGGACCTCAGCCCCAAAGAGGCCAAGAATTAGACTCAAAACAAGAGGAGGACTTTCGAGAGTGCTGTGTTAACCATACACATTCAGGAAGGAATATTACACGTCCTGCTTTGGAGCCGACGCCAACCTGTGATTACTGAAGATTAGGCTGAAAGTTAAGGCAAGGAGAAAATTATCTTGCTTCTGCCTCCGGAAGAAGTGCGAG